ATCCACCAGCTTTGTTTCTCTTTTTTTTAAGTTTTGTAGAAGAGAAGAGGTAAGTGAGTAAGGAACATGGGATTCAGAATATGGAAGGTAAAGTTTGAACATCTAGAATCTTGCCCCCATTCTTAGATAGTGTTTGTTTCATAAACTCCATCTTGAATATTGAAACTTAGATGAAGTTTAAGACTTGTAAAATTGTTCCTAACTTGCTTTCTTAGAAAACTTGGTACTCAGATTCTCTCTACTTCAATATAACAAAAACTATTCTCATGGGGAAAAGCTGCAGTAGTCCTATTTATCTAAAAACTAGGCCTTTTTTCCTTTTTTATTTGCTTTCGAATTTTTCTTAACCTGACATCAACTCTTAATAAAGTGATTAATATCAGTTATTAATCATAAATATAATGAGTAATGGTTTTAAAACTGCATAATTAAAAGATAATTATGTAATAGACTCATATCTATAGTACTTTGTTTTCTTCTATGAGGAAAAGTAAGGTAGTTTAAGCAGGAAAGTCTTAACTTTGTAGTTTTTCTTTATTAATTGAACTACCAAAAAAGTAAATCATAGTGACCACATAGAGGGGGTGAGGATTTGATAATATGGGTAACTGTTGAACCACTGTGTTGTATATTTGACACCAACGTAAGTTTGTATATCAATGATACTTTAATAAAAAAAATACTGAATTGAAGTGGCAGAAGTACAAAAAAAAAATCATTATGTAAATTTAAACTAATATGTTTTTATTGCGTTGGTTAACTAGAAAACTATTCCAAGAGCTTAGATTATTCAAGATGGTCTAGATTAATGCTTTATACTGTTTTTTCTGTCTGTACACACAGCTGGCTTCTCTCAGAAGCATCTTTCATTACAAACAATGTATTTCACCCAAGCTAATGGAATAGGTTTGCACTTATGATGGAGCAGATTCTGCTTTTATCTCCTCTTGCTGGAGACTCTTGATTACTCTCAGGGTCCTGTCCTGGATATATAATCTTCCTAATTCTTTCCTTGAAAAGTCTTTATTTAAGCAATTATAGACTACCAGTGTTTGTCTTTGAAATGAGAGCATAAGTGCAAAAACTCTGAAATGAATGATATTATTATAGAAAAAGAGATAAAAATAGTAAAAGAATGTATGCAGTGATTAAGTTGTAGAAAAGTTTTTAAAAATTCACATTACATCTTAAAATGACATGGAAACTAAATGTGCTTTATTAAATACCCATTGATCATTTTAATTGAAATTAACATCCTATCAATTTGACAATTCTACTTAAGCTTAATATAAAATCATGCCAATTTGTGCAGTGATGCAGTATACTCTTATTGCTTACACATAATTTAGTATCTGTTAGCCAAAACAGGAAGAAGATTGACAAATCTGCTTAGGAAAATTTGTACAATAATGTTAGGTGACTTTAGAAAGAATTTTGAAGGAGTAACACATGGAAACATCACAGAATACTACAATGCAAAATAACTGGAATGTAAACATCACTCCTTAAATTTATTCCGTAATTTGCAGAGATTATTGCTTTTGCAGACTTTGAGTACTAGAGGATTTATTTCCCTTGTTATAAAAATAATTTGGCTCCCCCTTCCCCTAGGACTCAATATCAAAGAAAAACTGACATATTTTATTATGTGGATTAGCTTTTTTACTTCAGTAGAGTTCCAGATTTCTGTGTTGTTCTGTACCCAGAGTAATGTAGAGTTAAGTTGAGCTAGATACTGTGTGTTAGGGAGCTGAATATTTGGTAGGATAATAATTGTAAACCAGTGGAATGTGCTTGTTTATTTCTTATGTTAAAAAATAATTTCTTCACCTGATCATCTGATCATCTACATTTGCCTTCTTACAGCACTAAACTATGTTTTCTACCTTTATCTTGCATCTACCTACCACTTCAGCATTTTATTAAAAATAAAAATAATAATAATAATAGGAGAAATGTGGGATCAACATATAAATCAAGTACAAAAATCAAATGAATATTCATATTTGACCTGAT